CAGCAAGGCAATTCTGCGAAGAAGAACAGAAAAGAGAAAAATTGTTGGATATAATGGAAAAGAAAGGGGTGATTTCAAAAGAGATGATTCATGAAGTTTGGAAAAAGACATCTTAAATTTCACAAAAAACAAAGATTATTTATTAGAAGTGACGAACCATCTTGATATCTTGGTAGAACCAAAAAGATACGACTCTGACCACAAACGTATACCTTCTGATTTTTTCTATGTTGCAAGCATGGTACGGGCACGCGATGATTCTGGATATCTTCAGTATGCTAGCTTTTTACAAAGGAACATTGCAATAGCCTTTCATTCGTCATCCATGATGATACCTCCTGCACTTTCATGTAGGTTTTTAAGTTACTGTTTATCCGTCTTGGCAGTGAAGACATATGAAGATACCAAAAGAGGACATGCTGTTCCATAAGTCAGGGGTTTTCACTTTTTATCCTTCCATGGATCTACACATTCTATGCGAAGATGAAATGATAATTGTCCGTCTAGTTCATGCTAGATCAAACGCCCTTATAATGACGGACATGGCTCTAAGCATTAAAGAATGTTTAACTTCAGCCTTGGAGAAAATTAGTCAATTGTATATCAAAACAAGTAGTGATAAGTGTCATACCAATGTTACATCCTTTAATGCAAGTATATGTTGTAATTCGCCAGATAACCCAAGCACTCTTCAATTCAACAGACTAGCCATAATTGACAAAATATGGCCATGTCCTTCTCATGGCATGGAACACAAACTACACACGATCTCGTCATGGATATCAGGAAAGGTAAGCTTATTTGCTAGATGATGTTCGTTATAGCTGACTGTATAACAAATCTTTTTAGATATAGATGCTGATGATGGATGGCTTCTAAACGTCCAGTGGCAGATTAATATGTATATTCAGGACGAGACGATGTTAATGTAATATAAATATTTGTACTAGACCGACACGCTGAATCGGATATTTTTCGTGCTAGTTCACAAGGTAACAGTCCGCTGGAAGACATGTCACCTTACCCGGACACATTATTCTGACTCTGAGATGCCAGATTTTGCTCTTACTCCTTAACGTCGCATGCTTAGCGGAGAAGCAACAAACACCAATTTTAAAGTCTTTAGTTTGACCCGGCCGGGGTTTGGAAACCTCGACCTCACTCATTCGAGGCGAACACGCTACCATGAGACCACCGTGACGGTTATCTAAATATAGAAATATCAATTAAACCATTCCATATTTTAAATTTTTCTGGTAGTTTTGCATTTCATAATTATGTTTTATTCCGTTGAGATGCTTGAAATGTATTTCTTTTCTGTTTAAATCCAGTACTCATGCCGTCTCAGAATAACATAAGAAACGGAAAATATATATACCTGATCAATGAGTATTTCAAAAATGTATATCTAAGGTCAAGTTATGTTAAGCACACTGACATGTTAATCAACAAGTGTTAACAACACCTGGTGAGATCCGGCTAGAATGTACAAAGGGCATTATAAAACGTTTTAAAAGAGAGGCGAAAGATACTCAAGGGTTATTCAAACTCATAAGTCGAAAAAAAACTTACAATGCCATGACAACCGACAAATAGACAAACAACAGTACACAAAACAGAACATAGAAAACGAAAAACTGAGCAAAACGAACATAAACAAAAAAAAAAAAGGGGGGGGGTCTCAGATGCTCCGGAAGAGTAAGCAGGCCCTGCTCAACTAGCGACACCCTTCGTGTTCATGTAAATACCCGTCGTGCTCATGTAAGTACACACCCGGTGAGGAGTCTAATTCGGTTGTCACAATCGAAGAAAAGAGTATGGTATTGTGGTTACGACAATCGTAACATATCCGTCGTCATCTGTGAAACAAGTATTTATGACCATTACTGATTGGTTGTGTATCCCACATGTTAATAAAGTGTTTTGATGTTAACCATATATAAATTTCAATATAGATATGTTCATTTAGGCCTCTTCTTAACTTTTTAAAGAAGTGTGGATGTGCTTGCTTTATGTCGCAAATGTAAAATGATGAATTTAAGACTGAAAAAAAATATTTTCTTTTTCATCAGGATGAAGACAATTGTGAATAGGGGTGTCCAGGTATTGTTTTCTTTTTTTAAGATTTATTGTGATGAACTTCCTTCTTTTTTTATTGGTCTTTTCAAAACGTGGTATCAAACGAATATTATTTGTCAAGGAAACGTTAACGTCCAGTTATTTCGATTGGTCATTGTTACAGAAAAAGTAATACAAAGAACAGTGTATGGCGTTTGTGAGTCCGTTGGGGTTTTCAGGGTCTACTTCTGGAACGCCCAGAACAAAACAAATAAAAAACCAACATAATTTCCAGACATATCTGTTGACAAGTAATTGTTTTTTTTTTTATAGAAATAAACAGAAGAAAGGTATACGTGCGATGTTGTGACATTGACGCTTGATTTTGTTTCATAACGTAAGGCAACTTATCATTTTCAAATTGATAGATGCATATTCTTCATGTGTCATTATAAGGTTACCAAGACTCATGACTTCTTTTATAGAGCAAAAGTACTGGCACAAGACCACATTATAAATTTCATACTAAAACGGTCTCGTCTAAATTAAACAACCAAAACCATCTCTGGTACTTAATTTGGTCTGAAATCTACCAAGGTCGAACGTAACGATGAATGATTTATATAATAGTTATGTTGGTATTTGATTTCTAAGCACTCTCTCTATAACAGTTACAAATAATAAATTTTTGAAAGAGATACCCTCAGACCTACATCTTCGTCGATTGTCATTATTATACAGCAAAAACGACGTACGAGAACTTGCAATATATTTAGGACTATCGGCAGATGACGTAGATATAATAAAGGAGATAGATGATTTAAGAATATGGAATTTTGAAGTGATGAGACAATGTAAGGACAGGCTTGCGGTGACATTTAAACACATCAAAGAAGCAACAGAACAAAGGAAATGTTCATAAACTTTGCAAGGTAAATATATTTTTAGAACAAAAATAAACAACAACTTTGTTCTCAACTAACTTACATTTGTTTGATTTTTCCGCGGTAGGTTGCATTATCATCTTTGTCGATAGTGACCAGAAAATGCAGAAATGCTAGCAACATAACCAATTTAAGCGAACCGAAGGTGAGGACCTTAAACATAAGCATTCGCAACAGGTTCAATCGAAGGTTATCAAAATATCTAACGCAATAATTATTGAACATTTCGCCAAATCTTTCAGTACATTGCATCGTACTGTCTGCAATTTCGATATTTGGTAATCTAATAAGGTACACACATATGTTGGATGAATTAAGAATAACCTTTTTAGTGTTAGATATAATGATGATTATGTTGCAACACGGCATTATTGGAAATAACAAATTAAGACAATTACGGCTGAAATGGTAAAAAAATGTCAGTGTAAGTAAAATAGGAAAACAGTAAAACAATATAGACAACCACGCAAAACATAAAGCAGACACAATGTTAAACTAGGGAAATAATTCTCATGCGTTGTAAATCTGCTTTAATGAACAAACGCACTGTATGTATTGTTTAACCTCTTTTATATATAACTGTTGTATTTGATCTTTATTAAAATATTCAATAAATGCCAGTAATTCTCATAAATCCTTTATAATTTATGATATCTGTTAAGGTCATCAATAATTTTGTTTTGATTTACAGCTTGTCAAAGGTGGTCCTTTTGGATTTCGGTAGGTTTCGTGTATCCACATCCGCATTTTGCTTATTGACGAATCAAAAATGTTTTGAATGACGTGTTTTCTAAGTCATACTTATAATTGAAGAGCTTTTGATTTTTTAACAACCTTACCTAAATGTAATCAAAATTTCCGTCAGAAAAACTCAAAAAAGATACCATGCTGTTTTTTTGGTACGCCGTTTATGCGTTTCGTCATCAAAAACTTCATTGAAGCTCGAATAAGAAAAAAAAGGTAAAATTAAGCACGAAGTTTAAGGGCATTGAAATTCTGAAATATTTGCCAAATATATATAAGCTAATATATTCTTGGAGTATGAATTCCTTAATATGTTCAACAACTCAATGTTTTGTAAAGAGTTAACTTTTATATATGAACATCTCAATAATATTTCATGTCAGCACAGAGCATATAAGTGCTGACTAAAGGACGGAAATGGGTGCTTCATACATTCAGTGACAATGATAAAGATTATGTTTCTCAGAATGTTAGATTTCGTTGCTTGGTTTGTACTCCAATGCTACATCATAGCGTAACTTGTATTGATTTGAGTATCTAAATAAGTACTGACGATAAACAAGGAAATCATGATACAGATCAAATAATTAATATAAAACTTATGTAATTGACATATAGGGCTGTTTTTATGTATTAATATTCAATGAAATCAACAATCCACTAGAGACAAACTAATATGGTTGAACGCAACTATAGGTCACTGTTCGGCCTTCCAAAAGGAGCAAACGCAATATCGTATAGTAAGGCCCTGACATGAAAAAACCTAAAACAATTCAAACGAGAGAATCACCATTCTGATCAATGTTAAAGCATTAATAATAAAAAAAAATAAGCAATCATGCTAGACAGCACCAAACGACAAACACTGAATCACAGGCTCCAGAGACATAACAAATGTCGGAGTAAAACATATTTGCGAGCTCTTAACACTCCCCTAATCAGGCCTGGGACAGGTATACATCACAACATACTAGTAAGCACGTACTGTAAAAATCTGTTGGAATGGTCCTGCTACATTAGATCGACGCAAAGTATGAACACAATTAAAAAATACAAAAAGTCCACATTTGCAAAGTGCCAATCTAAGAGAATTCGTAGTTACTAAAAGCTTTTTCAATTCCGAATAATAAGTATAACCTGTTTCCCAGACTAAAATATCATATATAAATTGTATATGTTTTTGCATCTAGTTGTTGATAATCTTAAATATTAACTTAAAAAATACTTTAAGTTATCTATCGTTGAACTATGCAGAAACGGAGCCCGAGAAGTGGGATCTAGTACCTACAGAAGAAAACATCGACAGATTGGCCCCTTTGATTGGAAAAAACTCCCTCCCGTTCCTTATCGAACTTGAAATGGATTTTCAGACATGGGAGCAGATAAGCCATAGGCAAAATGAAAGGGATTTGGTAAGACTTAACAAGGACATTTTAGAAGAATGGAGCACAAAGTTTTGTAAAGGGCATAGTCTGAAACCAACTTTGAGGTGCATCGCACAAGCATTTGGTAAAAATTTCAAAATCGTTAAAAACACATTATCAGATTTGTTTTAACTACATTTGATTCAGTGATCACTCGTTTTTTTTTCAATTTACATGTCGACTGTATTGAAAACGTTCTATTTAGAGAAAGGAGTATAAAACACGTTGAACTTTTAATCCTAACTGACAGTTGCAAACATGACTAAAGAATGTTGTTTATACATCGATGGCTTTCAAAATTTTGATATTGAGAGTTTTAATGAAAGGTAAATCAAGAAAAATGCTTCTGATGCATATTATTCATTAGTGTTAATTTTTCCTTTTCTAACAAGTGTTTCATGTCTAAATGATATTAGTTGTTTCGCATAACTTATAATGTTAATATTATGTTCATGATAAAGACTACGATGACAATGATGCCGACCTGTTCTTATTTCATATGAGTCGGATTCCCATCAAACAAGAAAAGATCAAAGAATCGTTGATAATTAAGTTGTCATTCAGATAAATTGGTGATGTTCTCTGCATTTACATTCAACACTTTTTTATATTGAGTTATATCAATATATCCCCAAGGACTAGATAACAAAGAAACTCCAGACACAGCTTCCTCCACCACAGTTTCGGAAATATACCTCGAATGTCGACTCCAGCGGTTATATCAGTACGAGAGTTTATGACAAACCAGACGGTTTCAATTTTGAAAATATAAATGTTCTCAACCTTTGCAGCAAATACCAACTTCTTCGCGTAGCCATATGATAAGCAATAGCTTGCAGGTGATTCTGAGACTTTGAATACCATCGGTGTTTGTGCAAAACAATTAGCCAGAGTTTTGTCAAAGAACGTCTCATCCTTTTTTTTAAGATCATCAAAAGATACCAATACCTTATTTATATCTATTTAGTGTCAACTTCATAAATAATACCGAATGGTATTGGGTCATAAATCTAAGGTACTGACGTTGTGTATGATTTTTTTTTTTTAAGCTGATTTCCTTTTATTCATCTTTGATGATTGTGTATATCTCATGTGCTCCGGAAGGGTAAGCAGATCCAGCTTCACATGTGGTACCCGTCGTTTTGTTAATGTAAGTACAAACCCGGTAATAAGTCTAATTCAGTAAGTCATATTCGGGAAAAGGGGACGGGATTGTAATTACGACATTAGGAACATATCCGATATCATCTGTGAAACGGATATTCTGTAACGGTCAACCAACTCGTGATGGCATCAGTAAAATTTTCGAAAGGTGATTTCAACTTCACCACTTGGAACTCTTGGTTTAATAGCTTCCTTGTGAGCAGCAACCTTCTATTAAGGAAATCATGATAGGAAATACAAGCCCTGGAGTATCGTATCAACTGGGAGATATTTACTCCGTATGCAGGCGCTGCTGGAATGTTGCTACATAAAAGTGGAAAATTTACAATTGGGAAGCTGGAATCATCTCGATTGTCATAAAGTTTTGTTTTCAACCGACCCTCATTGTCAATTTCTAGATGTAAGTCAAGATATGAGGCAGACTTAACTGTATATGTTGTATCCTTTATCTCAAGTTCGATGGGATAGATGCGTTCAACATAGTTACCAAATTTTGAATTATTTAGTGAGAGAACATCATTTTTGTAGCGGAAAGTAAAGTTAAAGGATACTGCTAACTTCTTTTCTTTCTTCCTAAGAAGTTCTTGTATGAAGTCAGCCTCATATGAATAAAGAAACAAGTCGGCAAGAAGAGGGGCACAGTTTGTTCCCATGGGAATGCCGATTGTCTGATGAAAATCACGTCCTCCAAACGTAACAAAATGATAATCAAGAAATCAAGTATCTTGATATTGTCAGTTTCAGAGAATATTTTGTTAGAATCAGAGTGATTTTTTTACAAAGTAGAATTTGTTCTCCCTAAGACCAGATACTTGTATCTACGTTGGCCATTCTTTTTAATGAAACAAAGCAGGACCAACTCTTTCAATTTATCTTTTAGTTTGGAATGGGGAATACTTGTGTAAAGTGTAGAAAAGTCAAATGTTGTAATACTATTGCAAGATGAAAGAGTCTTAGATTGTATGTACTCTAAAAGATCTTTAGAATTTTTTAGTATCCACATCTGATTCACGCCATCGCTTGAATAGGTAGTTTCACAATAACGTTGTAAAATGGGGGGATTTGGGTAGCCTTGAAAATGCATGTACAAAGTCAGTAATATGAGAGCTGTTTTCCACATGTTCCCGTCGTTTCGTTGTTTGATACAGGCGAGCGTTTGGTTTTGTCAGTTTTTATGAAATTCACCCTTTTGAATTAACCTTTGAGTTCGGTACTTAATTAATTGTTATTAATATTTTTTAAAGAATTTTACATTTTTCAACCTTTTAAAATTGATTACAGACATTACTTTTGGGACAGTACACAAAGCTGAAAAGAGTAACTAATAATGTACATCTATCAAGGATGTTTTAGAGATTTCTCTAGTTTAACGATGTTATTAGGTCAGGTTTAGAAATTTTTGTCAGATGTTCGGACTCCTTGGGTTTATTCCTACGATACAATGTAAAATATTTTGCCCCATAACAGCAATTTTTCTTTTCATATAAGACTTCATTAGCTCATAAAAGGTCATTCACCAAAATTTAAGCTGATTCTAGATTTCTTTTCTTACGATTTTAGACCCAAATAATGTCAATGCAAATATAAGGTAAAATTCCGAGTCAGCCTCCCCCCCCCCCCCCCCCCCCCAAAAAAAATCAATTATCTAAAAGAAGGAGTTCCATAACCTATCAATATTTTAGCTTATGTTGTTCCTTAACTTATCCTCTTCTGACTTATAGTATCAATTTTAAATTCTAAATTTTATTTAATTTCACCTTACTACATATTTAAATTTCCTAGTAAACGTAGATACTCGGTCGGACTATAGTTTTTGTATTTTTTTTTTTGTCGTTTGTCTTTTAGCTATGGTGTTGTCTGTATTTTTTTGAATTATGGATTTTGCATCGTACACTTAGTACCCTGTCTCTTTTTTTGAAATACATTGTCAGTAAAAATGAAGTTTTTTTACAATATTCTATAAGTGGTTATTTAAGTATACATACTATTATATATATAAAAATAAGGAGATGTCGTATGATTGTCAATGAGACAACTATCCATCAGAGTACAAATGATGTGGATGTTAGCAACTATAAGTCACCATACAGCCTTCAACAACGAGAAACCCCCACACTGTTAAGTCAACTACAAAAGGCCCCAACATGACAAATGTGAAACAAATTAGACGAGAAAACTAAATGCCTAATTTAGTATAATACAGTATACAAAAAAACACATATCTCTTTGAGATTGAGAAAAATTTAGTAAGTTTGAACGCGGACACCTAAGTTTAAAGTTTTACAAATACATTTTCGGGGTTTATAAAATATTATGTAATTTTGCTGTTATAGGAGACCTAGGTCGGACTACTATATTGCATATTGACATTATTTGTTTAATTCTAAAATTTATACAAAGAAATAATAGTTTAGAAGAGGGTCATTTGTTTAAACAAGCCCTGGTCACACGTATTGACACTCACAAATGTACTAAGTTATCTGGGTATTCTAGTATTGTATATATGTTAAGATGTATCGATGTTGATATAAAAATGTTTTACGTTGAAAAGGTTAAAATATTTTAATCAGTAGATTTAGGATTTACTGGAAAAATACTATACATTGTAGATGATAATGCAAATGTTAAAATAAGCAAATTGCGTACTTATTTTTAAATTTAAAACATCTAAAAAAGGGAATCATATTTATGTCCGTTAATACATTTCAGTATCGAAAAAACTTAACTCAGTTTAGAATTAGTACTTATCAGTTAGCTATTGAGAAAGGTCGGTTTAAAAGAATCGATAAAGATAAAAGGTTTTGCGGGCAGTGTAAACATATGCAGGTTGAAGACGTAGTTTTATTTTTTAATCGAATGCACTGAATATGAAAAGAAAAAAGGAATTTTATTCTTGCGGAAGTATGTATTCAATGTAAAAACTTCACTTATATTTGAAAGGACCAAACGATTATTTGGTTGATATCCAGTGACTCTGAATTTTTTCATATATCAATGTCAAGATTTATTAGTACTTGTTTTTAAATAAGAGATTTTGCTTTCAAGTGATTAAATATACATGTAGAGGTGATGCAGTTATTGTTCTATGTTTTACAAAGGGTTAATATTCTGTTTGTTCTTTTTAAAACACCATCTTGTACAAACGTTGTATGAATGATAGTTATTTAATCATTTATTTTCAATGTAATATATCTTTTATTTACTGTATAATTCACACTATATATATATGTATATATTATATGGTGTTCGCCCGCAGGCTGTATGACCCCGTGTTATCCGATTGAGAATGTCTGTCATAAAGTCGTCACATGTTTAAATGTGTATAATAAAATTAAAATTCGATGTGGCGTCATGGTAAGTAACATTATCATCCTTTACGACAGACAAAATATCTGAAAGGTATATCATCTACTTGCCACTATACATCATGTACTGTGTAACAAACCCAGATAAAGCCGACGAGAAAAGGCATTACTCGACCAGCGAAAGCTATATTTTAATATAGCCGAGGTGGTCGAGTGGTCTAGGGCGCTGGTTATGGTGCATGCTGCCACGATGTCAGAGAAGCAAGGGTTCGAATCTCGCTGAGGAAAAATTGTTGGACTAAATATGAGACAAATTATATTTATATATATATATATATATATATATATGTGCTATATGCTCGAAAACGGGCCCTTTAATCATTGTTAATTGGATTCAATGAAATATTCGTATTCGTATTCTTATATAACAGACATGATCCAACGTACAATACAGTTTAGGAAAACCATATACAAAAGACATGAACCAACGACAACCACTATATTACATGCTCAGAACTTGGGGGAGGCACATAAAGAATGTGGCGGGGTTAAACATGTTCGTAAGCGATCAACACTCTCCTTATCTTTGACAGTGATTTTAAAGCACAACATAAAAACAAACTGTAAAATACTTAACTGAATAGATCGGTTGAAACAAAAAATTAAAAACCTCACAACAAACATAAAATCAATAGACATATGAGTTATACAGCCATAAAATGAAAGAAAAATTCAGTAAAGTGGCAAAATTACGCAAAAACTTGACTGTTTACTAGCACATGCTTAGAAATACCCCGGTAATATACAGCATCTCATTCGTCCACAACGATTGAATATAATAATTGTAATTGCAATTTGTGTTAATATATTTACTAGCAAAAAAATTATTTTGGGCAAAGCTTTTGCTGTATGCTAATTTATCAAAGTTATAAATAAATTTAGCCTTTTTCCAAGTTATTATAATACGGGAAATAATTTAGAAAGCAGGTTCAAAGTGTGTTCCCTACTTCTAAGGTAACAAGAGTTGTTGGTTGGATAACGCCTCTCAAAAGGAAAAAAATATGAAAAACAACACTCCTAACAAGTTTCATGAAGCTATTTCATAGAATTTATTGCAGTAATTGTAAAAGGCCAGCGAGTAATAGTAAAAATCCAAAAATAAGTTTTCGATGTTAACACCCTTTTTAATGAGGAGGGCTTGAAATATCAATATCAACTTATCATTGATGATTTACTGACTTTCAAACCGTCGAAAATATTACAAAAGTACAGAAAACACTCCCATCAACAGTAATTCCTTTAATGGACGATTCTAAAACGGACTAAATTGATATGATATATAAAGAGGACAAATAACATTAATTTAATTGCATTTCAAACGGACCGATTAAATGGTAGTAACATTAATGATTAATTATTAGATTTTTTTTAGCTTTAAATAATCATCATGGGCAGTTTCGACAAAACCAAAGAGCAACGTCTTCTTTTCGAACTCAAACTTATCAATATAATGATTTTTATGTAAATTTAAGTATGAGTAAATACAAACCCTATACAGGCCTCATTAACAACTGGCCAATAAATGTTCTGCTTAAGAACTTGTTCACATCGGGTATCTTGATTAGAAATTCGCGGAGAGATCCGAATCCCGAGGAGCAATTAATGAACAGTTTGAAACGTTTGGTAGGTAAAATCTGGAATTTCCAAGCGATATGCAAAGAGTTTCATATTGTATATTTACGATTGTTTGTTTATGAATTATAAACAGTGTAGGTCGGACCGGTTCTTTTTCTATTTCAGTGTAAACGCACTAGATTTAATAAGATCGATCGAGATCGAGATCGATCTTGCTTGTGAACATGTTTTTTTTTAGATCGACCCAAATGAAGATCGGTTCAATTTCGTACAAGTGTAAACGGGGTCTAAAACTCTGCCAACAGTTTGGTAGACATTCAATGAAACCGACCTAGATGCTAAAAGTTTTCAGAATATTCAGATTTATTCCGATCATTCGAGACCCTTTAGATAATAGGTAGTGGATGTCGTTGAACTTGTCCATACATTGAGTTGTAGTAGGTACATATACATTTAGATTTGAATCCTAAACTTTGCCTGCTTACATACCTACAGTGTTTTATGTCAAGTCAAACTTATCTCTAAATTGCTATTTGAAAATATACCTATAAGATGCATTGAATAAAGTCGCAAGATTGATGATTCTTAAAACAAAAACAATGGTCATGTATGAACGATTTTTAAAAAAATGTTATTGAAAGTATCGTCATTCCATCACTTAAAAAAAAAATCATCAACTAATGATAAATTGATCAATATTTCCCTGAAAAACGCAACTTTTATCTTTCATAGATTTATGAAAACACGACATAATTCTGTAGAATTAACCGTAATAAGACAGCAGACAAAAATCGTGGTTTATGAAATAAAACACCAAAAACTATGTGTTCCTCCGTGTAGCGTTTTGCAAATAAACAACTATCACACTATCATAAGCAACAATAAAGTTTCCATATTTTTATCTTATAATATAAATGAGAATAATACATTAATTAACTTTATAGACATAATACGTTTTATAGAGCTTGACATCGTATGTATGCATCTGTTTATTGTTGAAGACTGTACATTGATATATATGTTTTGGTTTATCTGTGTTGTTAGATTGCTGTCTCATCTAAGTATACCCTAATGTGTGCCTTGATCATATACACATTGTCATTCCTGGTCTGTTCCAATCTTACAGTAAACCCTTGACTTAAGGGTGTGTATCCTTTGGCTGTGTGTGATGTATAAATACGCAGCCATGTTCGATCGAAACTGAGACGTTAAATTCGACAGGTTGTATGAGGAGTGTTATACGCTCTCAGCACGTTATAGAACCCTTGTAACAACTTATTGCAAGGTGAAAACTATGTTCCTATCCAACGAACCTTGGGCCTCAATTCACAGTGGCAGGCAAATTCCCAATCTATCATTCCGTTCGACCTGCGGCGCAAATAACTTTTTTCCATTGGACGTTTAGCATACACAGGATAAAGTATGAAGTAGTTTATTTGTTAATTCCCGTAAATTAGATTTAGAGATCAAATAATTAGGTGTCCCCTACCAGGAGGAACATACATTTTCATTGAAAATGTAGAGCTAGTAGAAAGAGCAAATTTCTGAGTGAGTAATTTGTGTAACCTTTAACTTTTTCAAATCTTTTTATTACAATTAATTTCTTAAGCTTAACAAATTGATACCGGTAGTTATATTTTACTTAAAATTGGTTTAAACACTGATATTTCACTTTCAACTTATCATTCTTTGCGAGGGAAGAAGCCGCTTTTATATACCTAATATTAATTAAATCCGTTCTTTTTTCAGTCACTGGATGCTCTTAAGCTATAAGGCTTCCTCATTTCTAATTTAGAGTTTGTACAATGAATAAAAATCCCCTCGCAAATGAATCAAAGTCATCGTCTTATTTAGCTGTTTGTAATATTCATCAGAAACCTTTTCGTTCGTGTTGATTTCTTGAGGTATGAGTATTTAATTTTTCAAAAAATAATCTTTGATTTGTATTTTCCCATATGTCGGTTCCTCTGTCATACTTGGGTTTGAACCTCTCCGTTTAAATTAAATTCATACTTTTTAAGTCTTAAAATGAAATATTTGGATGCTTGATTACAATGAGACAATTATCCGTCTAAGACTAAAAACTATATGAGTCACTGAATGAAGCAGATTGTTTATTGGCAAATATTTTATGCATATATTCATGACGGGAATATCCAAACACCTTAGTATTGCAAAGCGAGTCAACAAAGATCAAATGGTTTAAAGGAGTGTATATTGAACAATGTTGAATAAGATGGTACTTTTGGCATAACATATGCCTTACAACAATACAGTGGAATAAATACCCATATCTAAAGGTGAGTTATTTAATCCCCATTTTTCCACGGATGACGAATTTGTGGTACAAACGATCAACACAATGTACTGTAATTCTGACTGGTTATATCCTCCAAATGTTAGACAAGGCAATTTCAAAACACAACCACTTATTGCTAGGCATTATACTTTGAAAAGCTTCTTTACCCTCCGTACCTACTCCAGATTAAAGTATCTGATGATCAAACAGTTGATTTGATCGGGCAAAGGTTTACGTTTACCGTATCGTCATATGTAATTCGTAATTTCGTAATTCATGTAAAGTTATATATGTAGTTGAATAAGGTATATGCAACATTTATCTTGGCTCAACCGCCTCGTGGACTCGTTGTAGCATTCTCGCCTAGAGTGCGGGACGTCTTATGATTGATTCCTGGCCGGGACAAACCAAACGGCTTTAAAACTGGTATTTGCTGTTTTTCTTCTAAGCACGCGGCATTTAGAAGTCATCATTGATGTGTCCGATAGGGTCACATGTCCCTCTGCGCACTGTTACGACGTGAAATAGCACGTTAAAACTTCTGCTAAGCGTATTTCATTTTCATATCACATCAACATGTTCTCGTCCAGAAATGAATTTAATTCACAACTAGACGTTAAAAAACCAGGCCTCTATCTGTATTGCTCTTAATTTTATCTACACTTAATTCTAGACTTCGACATAATCTGAAAAGTTTTATTCATGGGGTGGTCACATACTAAAGTCTACTTATCATATTCCCATGATCATAATGATGTTGTCATTTTTCTCGACTTATGAGTTTTTAATGTTGCATTTGTATCCTCCGGTTTTTTTTCAAATACCTTATAGAAAGAGAAATGAAATACGACATGTAATTACACGAACAGAAAACATATATGATTAGACCCTAGGTACACAAAATCTTTTTGAAAGTTTATCATATTCCCATGGTGTTGTCATTTTTTCTCGACTTATGAGTTTTTAATGTTGCATTGGTATCCTCCGGTTTTTATTCAAATGTCTTATAGAAATAGATATATGATTAGACACTAGATGCACAAAATCTTTTTGAAATTGGATTGTTACACGCAAAGTTTATCATGTTTGCAATAGTCAAAGCCGCTTAGGAACCAAATTTCAAAACTAAACATGTATAAGAGAAGTTGGATCACAAACGAATATTTGAAAGATCTTTTGCTAATATAAACGTTATGACGCCTCGAATTTATAGGCATAAATAATAAAGATAAAGTGAGATAATTTATTTGATTTGTTATTTTAAACGTTTTTATAGTAATGTAAACACAATGCATAGACACATTTACCACAAAAGAAAGGGCTTTTTATTACATTCAATGAGTATTTGTTTTGTGGACGATGATTTACTTATTGTTTTTCAACAGTTTTGTTTTCACACAGCTTTAGGGTAATTTAAAATCTGCCTCAAATATAGCCAACAACAACATTGAGACGTAGCCGAATAATAGTCCGAAATTCAATGACAGAAACATACACAAATTTGGTATTCTTTTGAAATAACTAAGCACTTCTGGAATCTGAAAAGAGAAAAACAAAGCATTACGAAAGGAATTGATGGTGTTCATTTATATGCACCATTTTCACGATTTTCCAGAAATTTTAGAATATCTGTTGAAAAACATTTTATGATTATATTTCATTAAAACTATAGAGGAATAAAAATTTGATTTGATTGGTGTACAAAAGTTTAATCCTTGTATCTACAATGTATGATGAGTTTATTTAAAACATGTAGAATATTTAAGCAATTTAAAGAAAATTATAACTTTTAAGAAGTGAATGAAATAAAGAAATGCTTTGTTTATTTTTTTTTTCAGTTTTATTTTATTGACATACGTTAGGTTTTTAGAAATCCGGAATATTTGCCCAAGTTTGACAGATTACTCATAATAGCACGTATAACCAATTTGCTGTTGATTACGGTTTTAACTACTAACGTTATACACATTTGCTCCACTTTTGTAAAATGATATATACCGTCAGGTATACGGTTGACAGTTGGTAGCATCTGCTACGACATTGCGAAAATCACAGTCGACGTTTCCAGATTACTCAAAATATTTTCTTTTGAAAATTTGACGAGTATTGTACAAGAATACAAATGCAAGTACTGTATTTGAAGAGTTTAATGCGTTTAAAGAGCAACTTTGTTTATAAGGTAATTTTCATTTCTTTACTCACCTGTTGATTCGTAGTTTATGTTATCCATTTATGTTTTAGAACTATTTTCGACAATGAAAAGGATTTAGCAAATATGAAAGCTACAAAGGTGTCGTGTCACAAAATTTATTTTTTAATGACCAGTTACTTTCTCAAATCATGATAGAGTACACATGCAAGGAACTTCTCTTATGTCTAAGGCTTTAATATCAACTTGAAAGATTTTATCAAGGAAAAATTTAAAATTCTAGCACACACAGAATATTTACTAATTAAAGACTAACATTTTAATACTATACATCAATGAAAAAAGGACCAAATAAATCAAATAAATGAAAAATGTTTAACCATGTTAAAAATGTTTCTTTGTCCTATATGTTCTCCCATTTATTTGTATTGTGGTCCTGTCATGTCATGTTGTCCTTTTGGTGTTGTGTTTGACGTTGCCATTAAAGCGGGAGGTTTGGCATGCCACAAAACCAGGTTCAATCCACTATTTGTTTCTTAAAATGTCCTGTACCAAGTCAGGAAAATGGCCATTGTTATATTATAGTTCGTTTCTGTGTGTGTTACATTTTAATGTTGTGTTTTTGTTGTGTCGTTGTTCTCCTCTTATATTTGATGCGTTTCCCTCAGTTTTAGTTTGTGACACGGATTTGTTTTTATCTCTATCGATTTATGAGTTTCGAACAGCGGTATACTACTGTTGCCTTTATTTATTAACCATCTCGGTGAAAGCAAGAATAGCATTTATTACTTTAATTAGATGCAAATTCTACCCTTTTATTTTCTTACATTAATTATCATTTTCCCTTACAATGTTTACTGCTTCTAAAACATTACAACACTTTTAATAAATGCATATTATGCCAGGTGCGTATACATGATACAAATTTTCTTTTGCACACTACGTGACGATTTAATACCTTTATGATTAGCTAGTAACCAGAGGGTAAATGAATTTCAATTGAAGTAACCATCTTATCCATGCCAAGGCTATGGCATGACACATCAAAGAAGAATTCATTTGTCCACTAATTGTTTGCCTACTTATATTATTAATTCTGTTGCTGATATGTACATTCCATATTTTGCAATATCAACTTTTAACAGTCTCATACTGGAGGGATAAATTACGGCGACAGTAATTCATCGATGTTCATATCTCGTAATTGACTTTAGAATAGGAAAATCGAGGTAACAAACAAAAACTGATCGCGTGAATCGACAGGGTAAGCATTTCCTGATATGCATGCTTCTCTCACCATGCGAAACCACAAAACGGATATTATCGGATTTAAAGTCTTGTTTAATCGGGCATAAGAAAAGAGATGCTGGATATTTTTCTGTCCCCTCAAAATGATTTACGTCATTAAATATTAAAACATTTTCGTTTACCGCATCTTTATCGTATAGAAGACGTATTTCAATTAGAAAATTTGTTAAACTAAGTTACCACTCCATCCAAAATAAAACCAATATAGTCCTTTAAACAGTTCTTTTTATTAATTGTTTTCGTTTGGTTGGCTGTTGGTTTTTAACGACACATTCGGTATCCATAGCTATATCGTGGAGGTCAGTTTTTATTGTTGAAGGAAACCAGAATGTCCGGGGAAAACCACCTACCTTCGGCAGGAAAACTGGCAATCTTAGTCATTTCAGATTAGAGTCGCATGCACCAGCTACGTACGTGGTTTGAACTTGGAACCTTGATGTTGACGTGTTATTGATACTGTAGAAGGATTATGTAGACCACTCGGCCACCAAATACTAACAAAAGTTGTACTACTTACTAAGTTTGCTAAGGCGACATAAATGAACATGCCTGCACCAGCTGAAAATATCCAGGATCTAGCAACATCATTTGAGCTGGCTAGTATGCCTATATATAACCCTAAAAAGGCTGTCAGACTGGAAATGAAATTCAAAACCATTGCTCGTTTGATTGACAAACCGCTAGACACTAAAGCCGCAAAATCTCCTGAAAGAATAAGTTAATCACACATGTTTAATTAATTTCTGAGAAGCCATTTTATTGAGATGGTTCAAAAGTACTCAGAATCCAATCCGTTTTCGTTTATAACATATTATACAACTGAAATGAGAAAAATCTATTTCTAGGGTTCTAATCAGTTGCTCTAAACATAGTCTTTTTTCTGTAAATGCAGAATATATCTATAAACATTTTTTTTTTACAGGTTCGATTTTCCTATGCTCAGTGTTATATTTTCAAAACCATCATCTTGACACAATTATCATTTGGAAATTTTTTTCTATACCATGTGAAATCAAGCGTCCAGCATTAAAAATTGTGATACAAATTGGTACTAGGCCGGGGAAACCGTCGGGAACATTACTTATAATCGGGTAACATTTTTTCTCATAGAATGATAAAATTAACACACCTAATTCATGTGGTAATTCATGACAAAACACAGCTATTGAAGTGGATAACCCAACTGTTATATCTTTACTAAAGGCAGCCCCTATAGCTAGACCATCTGCAAAATTATGTATGGCGTCCCCTACTATCACCATCCAAGCAAGGGCAGATTTATCTGAAATAGAATGCTAAAACTTATAGTGACATATTATGTTATCATTTAAATCACTTGTTTTTCTATGTACTGACTGATAGTTTTATAATCTTGTACTTTTTCATTTTTTATTTTACATTCTAAATAACGTTTAAATTTATCATATTGAACATGTTATGCATTATTGTGTGCTTAATTTTGAATAAAAGAAATGGAAAATTGGTTTTCCTACAAAATAATGAAAACATGAAAGTTTGAAAATAAACTTATCACAGATACCAGTATTAAGATTGTGACTCGCGATTCGTGTACAAAAGACGCACCAGTGACGCTCGAAACATAATGGTGCATATTTTAGGAAAAACGGATATAAAAGAACACTCTCAACAGCACAGGCATAGACAAATTAATATATTATAAATACTAAACGGAATATAACAGCTATTCAGAACTTATTTGAGTGACGAACTCCATCAGAAACACAATTTATTTCGGTTATATCTCTCTCAAGTCTTGACTGATTTTCCTAATTAGGAATGGCTATCAAAATGTATCAACAACACAAACTTTTTAAGTATAAATAACTATTCTGTAAGTTATTTTCGGAACTAAATTTAGTTATTCACAGTTTACTTTTGCATTTTAACAATCAATGTCCGTAATTTGCGCCTTTATCTGACTTATATCAATTCGTTTTTTAATCAGAGAAGTAAAAGTGTATTCTGTCACTAGAAAAATACCTTTTCCTCTTTGACCTTTAATTTCGTTTTCTTCATTTTGACATGTGTACTTATCGTCTTTCTGTAAACCAAGAATGATCAGCAGTTTAAATGAAAGTAAGACTTTCTTAATTGCATGCGTTCAAAACGCATTTCTGGATTCAACTTCTTCAGGAATGCTCCAACCCAACATTTGGAAGATAATAATGTATACGACCTAAGATCGAAAAGAGCAATATGACCAAAAGGGACCTTAAAAAATAGCCGAATTCATATAAGGTCATATTTTTTACTATAAGTCACTTTATCCGAGATATACCTTAAGATTTTTTCAAATTGCTTTAGTGAGTTGAAATTTCAATAATTAAATTGTAATATTATTCAAGATTTATTTCAAAAACAGAAAACATTATAATTGGCCTGCATCACTTAGCGTGAGCTGGTTCTCCGATCGAAAATATCAAGAATACTTTTAATTGAAAGAATAAAAACACATACATATATATGTGATTATTTTCCCGATATCGAAGAGGCATTTAGTCCTTGGAAAATTTTGAATTTAGTATTAATGACAGAATATTTGAATGAAATTGATCGTTGTAAGGACTCATGTTTTATCAATACTGTGCTATTGTGTGCTTTTTATTGTTTGCAGTGAAAATCAAGTATACTCCACGTTTCGCTAGGTTCTATAAGTAAAAATATATATTTTGATATATGTACGGGTGTGTAACTGTTTTCTCCAGTAACAGTAATTTTTAAAGATATGAATATTGAAGCTGTCGGGTATTTATACAATCAGTGAGAGAATGTTGGAGATAAATTTAACAGTCATAATACAACACAACTCTACCAACAAAAACTCCACTAAAGAAAAAAAATATCAAAATATGCATTATTTGCAATAATTGCAATAATTAACAAAGTAATATTTGTTACTAAGATCCATTTCACGTATTGTTGTTTTAACAACATTCCAAACAAGCATTTGTATATACTTTATCTACCTTTTCTTGTGTGCTATTTTTCAGAAAACAAAACGTCAGCTCCAGTAAGAAAAATCCATAAATACTGGCAAGGAGAGCGCATTGCTTTGTCAATATCTCTGAAACTCGTGTGTTTTCCATGTTGCTTTCTCCTTCTAAAACCTGGAATAAAATATTGATATGATTTAAATGTTAAAATACATTTATTTGCTAAAAGAAAACATCTGGATTGACAGGTAATATTGAATTAATAGCTGGGAGTAAGAAAGTACCCATTTTAGTTACAATATTTTACTCGTCAGAAACGTAGTCTATTTATCATGTTTATTGAAACATGATTAACCCTAGCGGCATATTTTACATGAATAATTCGAACATATATAATTACATACTTGTTGCCAGGCAGCATCAGCCATATAAAGATAAACATATAACGTCCTGGATATTTGAAAAACAACGGAAAAAACATACAATGAGAACAATATATTAATAAGTCATACCAGGTGATTACGATTTAAACAGTATCATATTGGTAATATATTAAAATCAATTCTTTATAAGTTCCTTGCATCCGACGCGCTTTTCTCAATTTACCTTCATTAGGAATCCCCAAAGTCAAAAATTTGGGATCCAAGGATGTGTCTCTTATCGGAATTTAATTTATAAACCATTTGTACATGTTAATTCTATATATAGATATAAGAAGATGTGGTATGAGTGCCAATGAGACAACTCTCCATCCAAGTAAAAATTTATAAAAGTAAACCATTATAGGTCACAGTACGGTCTTCAACACGGAGCCTTGGCTCACACCGAACAGTAAGCTATAAAGGGCCCCATAAAAATTACTAGTGTAAAACCATTCAAACGGGAAAACCGACGGTCTAATCTATATAAAAAACGAGAAACGAGAAACACTTATGAACCCCATCAACAAACGACAACTACTGAACATCAGATTCCTGACTTAGGACAGGTGCAAACAAATGCAGCGGGTTTAAACGTTTTAATGGTACCAAACCTTCACCCTTTTTCTGAAACAATATTGTAACATCACAACATAGAAAGACACACTATAAAATATCAACTGAAATAGCTTAACTCAATCAAAGGACATATTAACACCATTGAACATACACTGAACAAATAAATTTGACCTATGACACAATGTAAATACAAAATAAATAAACTAAGGGAAGAATAATAAAAGTAACATGTTATATCGGTTAGAAATGTTAAACAATTAAAGAAAAACAATATGCTCGAACAAAAATACCATCCATTTGCAATAACTTTAAACACAGGTAAATGAAAATAATTTTGTTGTTAGGTATACCTGTACAGTACCAATAGAGAAAGGAAATATTTTTACAAAATAAATAATTTTGAATACAAAATAAATAAACTAAGGGAAGAATAATAAAAGTAACATGTTATATCGGTAAGAAATGTTAAACAATTAAAGAAAAACAATATGCTCGAACAAAAATACCATCCATTTGCAATAACTTTAAACACAGGTAAATGAAAATAATTCTGTTGTCAGGTATACGTGTACAGTACCAATAGAGAAGGGAAATATTATTACAAATAAATAATTTTGACTATATAACACCACCAAATGTAAAAGTTATAATTGAAAACGCAAAAAAAGAAATGATCTTTGTTTATGTATTCTATTATGCTTGAAAAAAAACATTAATCCTAATTTAACTTTAGCATGTTATATGCATGTGACAAAATATAATTTCTAGTATGCAGGTTAAAGAAATAAGACGATTACAGTATTTTTTAATTATATTTTTCAAAGAACAGATTAGGACTATTATTGTATTTTTTAACTATATTTTCTGAACTGTTACTTTATGGAGAACGTGTATATATTATATACGGTATGTCGGTATGTACTATCAACGAAAAAAAATTTTTTTTACGTCACTGTCAAATTTAAAATTATTATCTACTATACCTTTTTTTGTTGGCGTCTTTGTTATATTAATTTGTAAGTTTGTTTGTTTATTCGTCAGTTGTGTTGTATGCCTGTGATGTATGTTTGCTCAGTTTTGGTTGCTTGATCCCAATTATTGTCACATTAACCTATCATGTCTGTTTGGGTTGTTCACCCAATCTTATCAATATAACAGAACTATAAAAACTGTCATACAAGTAGGAGGTTTAGCCACTATAAAATTGTTTGTACCTAGTCGAGATATAGCATATGTTTTTCACTTTTTCCGTTGATTGATAGCGTTTAATATTGTCAGTTTTAATGGACATTCCTTTTTTGAATTTACCTTGGAGGTCGGAAATTTTTGTTTCACTTATTTTCCGAAAAACAGGGGTTTTATGAAAATATATCAATGTGTAAAAAAATAAATATACAAGGTCAAGTGATTTACATCTAAACGCATAAAAATACATCTCACAATAGTGCATCGTAATTTATATATAATTATGCAATAAAGCTGTTCAGTATATTCAAATTGTAATTTGTTTTTTTCCACATAATTAACTAAACAGTAGAGTGATACTTTTTTTATGCAAATCATCCATTTATAGAAACGATAGAACAACGTTATGAACAAATTGCCGGAGAAAGTAAGCATAGAACAGTTGAAATCAACTGCTTTATCAACACTTCGAGTACAAATAATGTATATTCTGTGATGTGCATAATTTTTTTTCATCCTGTCACCTTTATCTGTTTTCAATTTCTTAAAATTGCAATTACAAATGTATCATCATATCTCTGAATAGCTATCTTTTTTTCTGCTATGTATAAATGTATTCAATGAAACAGCTTTTTTCCTACCTTAGCAAACTTTAAAAAGGAGTTTGTACATCCCTTGGATGGTGTTTACTTCCCAAAACAATGTGTATGGTGTAAAGGTGTATGGCATATGGTGCAATGGTAGAAAGTGTATGGTGCTATGGTGTAAAGTGTGAGGGGAATGGTGTAATGGTGTAACGTGCGATCGGTAATGGTGTGAATGAATGGTGTACGACATTTAAAACTATGCAAAATATTGAAAAGAACTGTTTTTTTAATTTTATACATTAACTTACAATATTTTGATCAAAATTCGTTTTTTTAAATAAATAAATAATTTTGTAGTCACGCGCTTTCTTTGAAATTAAATTGCATTATGGTGTAATGTGTAAGGTGTATGGTGCAAAGGTGTTACGTCTATGGTGTAATGGTACAGGGTGTATGGTGTAATGGTGTATAGTGAATGGTGTAATGATGTATGGTGATTGATGTTATGGTGTATGGTGTTAGTGGGAAGTTTACACCATCCAAGGACTGTAATGTCATTGTCAACATAATTAGTCAAACAATTTACCTCAGAAAGTAAGTGTAGAATAGCATCTCCAACAAGGCAACCGACTGACAGCGAGAGTAACATTCCCATCAGATAGTCTTTTATAACCTTCTGTGATAGTTTGACGAATACAGCACCAACAAGTGACGCTAAACTAATAACCAAAACACTCGCTGTTCCTAACCCATATACTACAATAAAATACATTAAGGTATGCATTTCGGAAATTTAAATCATTTATATTTTGTATTTTCAATGAACTAAAGTTAGCTTTCAATATAGTCTCAATACGAATTTTTAATTTTTTTGTTTCTCATCATGAACTTATAAGCAGATATTTACTGAATGACAACACGACGACTACCACCAGTGGAGCCGGTACTGGACATACTTTATGAGCACCAGATTTTACTTTTTTTTCCAATAAATTCTTGACAACATTACCCAGAAGGCCAGCGGATTAGATCAATTCTGCCAAATGCTTTTATTCTATATTATTTCTGCTATCATACGTAAGTCTTTTTCAAACATTTCTTATACTGAATTTCTACTTCTAATTAGTGATACATGTAGTTAATATTCTAGCTCATATAATTTGTAAGCGGTATTTGATTGAGCCTATAGAGATTTATTAGAAGATTTCCATTCGCATTAAAGATATAGTTGGTGTTTTGGTTGAAAATTTCCTATATTTGACAATTGGTAACATGCTTTTTCTTGGAAAAAAAAAAGATTGCGGTCATACATTTTACTTCCAATTTGTGATTTTGTAAATTGTAAAATTGATAGTTTATGTTTCTTGGTAAGACCTGATTTCTTTCAAAGCTTTTGTAGGCCGTGCCTTGCGTTTTATTTAACAGCGAGAGACATATTTATACCAGTAACTACTGTCTATTCATAACTCCGTACAAGGTATACTGAATACCTGGTGATACTTGAACAAAACCTGTCAATATAAATACTTACTTTCAAGAGCTGAAGGAGGGACATGATCTTTTATCATTTTAGCTTTGTCTTTGATTTCTGAACGCTGCAACAAACTGTATATGACAGACGGGCAGATGTCTAGAAATTGTTCTCTTGTTATGCGGTTTATCATTCGATGTTCAAACTTTCTTTCTACTAATTGCATCATATCCTTCGTTGTAAAAATCTTGGGAAAAGTCATATTATAATTAGCAACGTTAAACAAAAAATTCTCCATATAGAATCGGACAATTTTCTACTGTATATGCATCAGAACAAAATTGTGTATTGGCATTTGTTTGCTTTTTGTCAAGGCACGAACAGTATTATAATTGTGATTCCTCACATTAAACCATATAGTTAAATGTAAATGAATCAGATGTAGTTTTGTTGGTTTAAAAGTTATAAATGTCATGATTGTACATAAATCATGTAAATCAGATCACCAATTGAACAGGCTCGAAGATTAAAAGAATATAGATAAATCATGTAAATAAGATCACCAATTAAACAGGCTCGAAGATTAAAAAAATGTAAATAAATCATGTAAATTAGATCACCAATTAAACAGGCTCGAAGATTAAAAAAATGTAAATAAATCATGTAAATTAGATCACCAATTAAACAGGCTCAAAGATTAAAAGAATGTAGATAAATCATGTAAATTAGATCACCAATTAAACAGTCTCGAAGATTAAAAAAATGTAAATAAATCATGTAAATCAGATCACCAATTAAACAGGCTCGAACATTAAAAAAAATATTAACATTTTTGTTAATTTGACACATAAAATGTATTGGTTGAATACTCATGAACTGTGTTTTTAGAATAAATAAGATTGTAAGGTAAAGGCAATGGCAAAACTCCAAATGGAGCGAAACGATAATAATACGATAATAAAATGTATATATGCTTTGTTTGAAAACTTCTCGTTTCATTTATTTTTGTGAATTCATAATCAAGCCCAGTAAAAAAAAATAGATCAGAGATGTAAAGAAACGTGTTCCGTCTATTTTTTTGTGATCTATTATAGATCTGTTGATTATTTTTCGGACGATTGACATATATGAGGTAGGAACTACAAACGTTGTGGAACACATGAGTCTTTCCTTGGTATTCAGTTTCATTTATTGCTTAGCCTATATACTTTTTAACTATTCGTATTTTTTTTTGTGATTGTTCATCTTGTTACTTTTTCTGCTATCAGATTTCTCTTATTTGCAATTAATGTCATACCTTTGAAAAATTTAGAATTGAGCCGGTACTGCCAGTGTCAACAAAATCATTAAAACTAGAAGGCCTGTTTGTCCTGTATTTGGAATTGTAATCATGACTGGAGAAATGATTCATTTGCTGACCTGAATGTTGACTGAAATGGTCATTGTTGTTATGACTAGAACGTTTGGTCTTTCTATTATGTTCTTTGATTTTGTCTATTTTGTATCCATTTATTATATCAGACATCATTTGTTCTAAATCTGCAATTCAAATATAAATATAGGAAGATGTGGTGTAATTGCCAATGAGACAACTCTCTACTAGAGACGAAATGACATAGAAGTTAACAATTATGGGTCGCTGTATTTATCATTAATATCTTCTCTGATCAAATTAGCATAATAATGTTGACGTATTTAAATTGTCAAAGTTCAAAATACTATCATATATAATATAAAGAAAGAAACATAATTTTGCTATTTCATATTTCCATAAAAAATAGTTTGGTTGGGTAATATTCATGATGAAAGCAAGTTGTCAATCAATCGATGCAAACATATCCTGCTAACATTTCAGCATAGGGTAGACCTTACCATGTTTGACAATGTCTGGCTGGATTGAGACAGTCTAGGCGAAACTTAATTTGTGTGTAGTACTAGTTTTGACGATGCAATCTTTTGTATATGGTTAAGTTAATTAGAAGACACATCAAATGTTCGCATTTTTCGGTGGCAAAAAAAAAAAAAAAAAAAATTAAACAATCCTACTTCTAGGTCTACTGGTCTAGTTAACAATATTGCGATTCTTTGACCGCCAGGACCATTTATCAACACATTCAAAATGTCTTTCGTCGCAGTTTCCTTACAGTACGGGTTATGACAATACCACCATCTTGACCATATCCCTGAATAACCAAAGATGTTACCTGTTTCGTTCATATAACTATTATGATGGTGTCCATAACGCCGCATGATGTACTCAAGATGATCAACTAGACAATATGTTTTGTCATCGTATATACTGAAACCTGAAATATATATTGTTTACGCATGCTTACTGTGCAAAGATTATTGTAGTAATTCTTGTCTATACTTCTATGTCCCTTTCATTCAGTTATTTAAATTGGAAGCAAAACTGTTGGAAAATAATCTAGAAATACGGATCAATAGCAGACAATGTAACTATTCCTCTTGCTCATTGTTTTGGTTTTCTGTGTTGTGTTTTGTGGAGTGTTTTTTTGTATTAAGGATGTTCGCTCCTCTTGTTTTTGAATTTTTGCCATATTTTCGGAATCCTCTGGTTTTATCCATGTAGCGCCATTAAAAATTTTTTCCCGCTAACCCCTAATTTTCTTTCGATAATTGTATTACATATAGTTTAAAATGCCATTTATGAAAATCTTATAAAATCCTTGTTAATTTTTCATAGTTTTTGAAAGAAAAAAAGTGTCAATGTTAAATGAATGAAAAATCTAGAGAGAATAATTTCCTGCCAAATTTTCAATGGCTTATATCTCGAAAACAAGCACACGGACCCTTAACTTTTTTGTACTTTTTTAGTATTTATTTACTATCAATTCATAAAAGTCTTTTAAAAAGTTTGTTATTTTGTCGTTTTTGTGTGTTTTTGGCAATATTTTGTCAGTTCGTTTTCTACTTATGAGTCTAACTATTCCTTTGGTGTCTTTATCCTTTCCTTTGCAACATTCTAGTTATTAAGTTTTGAAAGACTAAATTATTTGTCATTTTACATAAGATTCATATTGGGGTAATAGATGTTACCCTTACCGAAAATAAACTTTGAATAAATGTAGATTGAAAATAATACAGACTTTTAAGATCGTGAATTTCAATAAAATTGTTTGAAATTATTTAGCAATGATAATTTCAGAGAGAGATACTGTTGCTTTTTAGATGGTGGCTTTCCAGTTGGAAAATGCGCCAAGTTTAATAATTTCAACAGAACAGATAATGCTCTTATATTACTGTAACATTCATTATGTGGCGGATTCTCAAATATTGCATAATTTCTGTAATGTACTTCTAATAAGATAAACTATAATTAAGCTTTTGTTCATGCGCGTGTCTGATAAGAATTAACCAAAAGGAGTTCTTCGGACGCATCAAATTTACAATACCTCGTAAAATAGCAGATACGATATTAGAAGATACTCCGTGAAGAATCCGTTGCACTTTCAAAAACTGTTGAAGAAACGGTCTTTGCCAACTTCTTGGTACATACACCCGAGGACATTTGTGTTGATGTGATGGTTTGATAGTTGTGTCCTCAGGTGATTGATGTAGTGGTTGTATTGCTGTGTCTAAATTGTCGTTTTGTTTTATATAGTTAATAGACTGAAACAAAACAAGTGTTGCAAATAAGACAATTGAAATTGAATAAAAACAGATAGAAAATATAATTAATGGCGAATTTAAACTCTGAAAGCGATCTAGATTATAATGAGTAAAACTTACATTTTTAACTGTCAAGTACAGCAAGAAAAGCATTTGAGTTGTGTGACCTTTTAAATGTACTACTCATCAAAGCTATTAGAATGACATGGAAAATATTAAGACTTGGAAGACGATTCAGTTTTGGTGGGTTTTGGGTGTTGAACTATAAGCCTGATATCTATCATTCCTCTTTTGCCACTGTAAACTAGTTCATTGAAGCGATTCAGCTGTTTAAGTATTGGTGATTCTCATTTTCATGAAATGATCCTTCCGTATTTTAAAGATATCGGGAGATATATAAACAATGCAGTATCAATATTGTAACCGACATGTATGTACATTAATGCAAATATAATGTCAGTAAACCTTACGCAATGATTGTCAAAACATGTGATGTTAAATGTAATAGAAAGTGGAAAAAAGAATAATTTATGTTAATTTGAAATAAGAAAAAAATCGTTAATTACCGAAGATGACTGATACATAATGATTTTGACGAACAGCCATTAAATATCATTAGTTTATCTCTTTATTAACATTTTATGAACTGTTTACACTTGTATGTTCTTCTTCCTAAGAACGCACAATTTCTTTGACAATAAAATATATCTTTTAATTTAATCATTTAGGCCTCTTTAAATTGTATCTGAGAAGAGAAACACTGAATAAATGTAGCGTTTATACCTCCAATGATACAATCAATTAAATGTTTGCGAAAACTAAATCTGAAGATGTATAGAATGCACGTTAAAGAACTGCAGACATACAATTTTTTACTTTTAATAGCAATGACATGCTATTATTATGATCATATCCGTTCTATTAATCAAAAATTTATACGTGGCCACGTGCTGTCTTATTCATTAGAGACGTAGTGATAAATGAAAAAAAAATATATGTAAAACTGCAATTTAGTAGCGTTACGCTTACTATGTTGTTATGTGTTTTTTCACTCCTCATA